TTACTATTATTAGTTGCATTATTTCATAAAATAAGAAATCATGGCTTTGATTTATTGAACAGTAAACACAAACGCAATTGAAACTCTTATATTTTCAAATATCATTATTGTAAGTAACATCACTGATTCACTGTTCCTGCATTAACCATTTGCTTGAATTTTTTTTTAGTTTACATACATCATTAGAAGCATATTTAGTACAATATCATAAATCCTATAGAGGAGACCAAAGTGTTCTTGTATTTCCATTTATGTGTGTGTGTGTGTGTGTGTGTGTGTGTGTGTGTGTGTGATGAATTGGTAAAAATCTTAAAGGGAATAACAAAGTGTGTGGCAACCTTCCTAGGATACTTTTATCAAAGTTACAAAACTTAATCTGAAGGAAAATGATAGTAGCACAAAATAAAATATATAAATCCAATTTTATAAGCAGTCAAATATTCAGCCTTTAATTAATAATTTAGAAACTGTGCTTTTGAGATACTAAGCTCCTTTATTTTCCCTCATCCTTTATTTCTTCTGCCTACATATTTTAATTTTTCAACTTATTTATATAACCTATTCTAAGAAAGAAAGGGCAAAAAGAGAAGGAGAAATACAAGATCTATTAATATAGTTATTTCTTAGCAGCTCTGAAAGAAGTGGAGAAAGGTTTAAATTGCAAGGAGAGACCCATTGTGGGCCACCTGCTCCACCACTGGGCAGTAGCTACGATTCCTTTGTCTTCCCCTGGTCTGGATAACTGAGAGATAACTGGTATCTTTTTGAAAGAGGTAGAACTCTGCATCTCTAAAACTATTCATCAGAATTACTGAATGATCCTGCCACAATTGAACCCTTGTCCACAAAAATGCACTGAAGCTTTTATTAAATGAAATAAAATTTTCTAACATCATTGAAGCTAGCCTATCTTTAGCCACATCAAATTATTAGCTATTTTTATTAACTGCTGCTGCATTTGGAATACAATTCACTATGTCAAAGAAATATAAATCTAGGTAACTCAAAAGAAAAAGACAAAATTTTTATCCACGTTAACAGAAAAACATCTACACAGAAATTCAAAAACCATGCAAGCATTTAACTGAAAATATCAGGCATTATGTACTTAAATAAATATATCAAGGGAAAAGAAGGCGGCAACAGAACCTAGAACCTATTGTGAAACTGAATACACAAATAGACAATGGCCAGATCACACATAAAAATAGAAGTCTAGGGATCCCTGGGTGGCGCAGCGGTTTAGCGCCTGCCTTTGGCCCAGGGCGCGATCCTGGAGACCCGGGATCGAATCCCACGTCGGGCTCCTGGTACATGGAGCCTGCTTCTCCCTCTGCCTGTGTCTCTGCCTCTCTCTCTCTCTGTGTGTGACTATCATAAATAAATAAAAAAAATTAAAAAAAAATAGAAGTCTAACTCCCAACTTACAGCAACTTGCCTAGAAAACCATATCTACAATAAACAGCCCAGGAAGCCAGTCTGCTAGGAGTCAGATTTGTAGGAGGCCACATGGTTACTTCTAGGAGCAATCCAGGAAGCTAAACAATAACGTCTGTAACAACTGAACCAAAGTAGTCAAGATTGATTACCTAACAGCTTCCCTAAATGTTGTCACCACTTTCCTTTTAGGACAAACCAGAGAAAGATGAGTATGCACCCCTAGCTAATCACATAGGATTCCCCACTTCTAATTAGCCCCTCTTACAGCTTCCCCGTGCCAAGAACCTCCAATCAAGGCATGCCTGAAACCTTCCCCTTTCCCCAGTATACAGCTTTCCCACTCTTTTGTCTGCCTTTGAGTCTCCACCAAAATGCAAGCGGCAGTGGCTAACTAACTCCCTTGCTACCTAGCAAGCTCTGAATAAAGAGCCTTCACATTTCTCTATTGGGGGGTCTTCATTTATTTCCACACTACTGAGTATCTGCTACATATCCATCAAAGGGGAACACGCTTAGATATCCTAAGAAGTTAATCTTCACAATATTCTGAGATTTTTTTTTAATCCCCACTTCACAGATGAACAGAACTGAAGTTTGTAGAAGTTAGCTTCCTTGCTTTCCTATTTACATCATGCCAGAGTAAGTGTTTTGGTGTATTTTTTGTGATAAAGGTATTTAAGATAATATTTTAAAAGGTGATAAAACCAATAACAGGAGCTATAAATAAATTGGGTGTTTTTTAGCATTACTTGCATTTGTATCTATCAATTTGCTGGATAAATGTCAACATTGTATTTTTAATTGACTCATTGCTTTAAAGTTACAATGAATCAAAATACATAGGCGTTTGAAATCACCAAAATCACCATAGAGGAAATGACTTCTATATCTTATTTGCTATAAAAAACACATCAGGAGAAATAATTTGCTTGTCAAGTAGTGACTGAAGCAACAGACTTTTTACAGATAATGTGTAGAAATTCTTATAAGAAAATGTAGCTATTTACTACATTGACAAAGAAATGAGTAAAAATGAAATTTGAGTGATTCTGAAAAGAATAAGTATATGCCTGGCACTTTTTAAAAGTGTTAATTATTTAACAATCACATAAGTTAACTACCATTGTATTTATTTTACAAATGAAGAAATTGTAAAGACATTTAAGAATATTACCTACAACTTAACAGTGAGCAAAACAGTCTATATTCAAAAACAGAATTATTTTTTGGTTTCAAAGTTCAACAAATATGCTCAAGAAACACTTGATTAAAATTCATTTTAAGATATTCCCTTGCCACATAAATTGGCCACAGAACCTAAAACTGAAGTAATTTATTTTCTAACTATAAAATAGTGGAACTTAGCTTTATAGGAAGCAGTAGGGGAAACAGCATTTGCACAAATCAGAAATTACCAAGGAAGTTACATAAGACTAGATTTTTTAAAAAAATAGGAAAATATAGATGATTAATAAGGCCTTTTAATGCCTGAAAATAAAATAGTATTTAAGAACAATTCCCTCAACCAAGACTTGAAAATCTAAAAAGAAATCTACAGATAATATTGTTTAAATAATAGTGTGTAATAAGAAATGATGACTAAAGGCCAAATAATTCCTCATGTGTCTTCTACTTTGTCTCACTAATTTCATTTAGTTAATTCAAACCTTTATTAAGGATTCCTTGCATGGAGCCTAAATTAAAATGAACAGAAAGTTGGAATGTGAGAGGCTTTGTAAGAGGAAAAGATTCAAGCTCTTGGCTTTTATCAGATTTCATGTTAAGGACAGAAAACTATTTACTGAAGCATCTCTATTTTAGTAAAAGTAATGAATTTGTCACATAAAATTATAAATACCAGAGTTATAATTTGGCCACTTTGCTAAACATATAGGTAGGGAAAAAACTGCTTCCTTTAGACCCCTAAAAGACTTTGCTCCTTCCCATAAACAGGACTGATGCTCAATGGCTATCAATTGAATTAATTTTTAAGCCCTTTAGCTATCTTCTCCTCATTGAGATGCAATGACTTTTTTTTCATAGAAAAAAAGTTGAGGTGTTTTTGTTTTGCATCTCTCTACATCAGCCCATCATCTACATTTGAATGAGGCAAATGAGCAAAAAGTATGGAGTAGATGGGGAATGTATTTTATAAGAAAATCACCCGGGGGGTTTCAAGCAACATGTACCTCAAACATTAAAGTAGCTGTCAAGAAAGGCAATTTTATCATGAAAATAACATGTTCCAATAACTTTGAAGCAAGGGTATGTACAGTAGAGGCTAACTTTCAGTGGAAGGTGGACATTAACTGGCTAATTTTCCAACAGTCAAATCCCTTAACCATGACGTTTCTTCATTTGTAAGATAGAGATGATAATAGAACCCAAGGAGATAATTGTAAGGATTCAGAGACTTAGTGTATATATAAGTGTTGGCACAGTGTAAACACCTGGTGAGTGTTACTTTATTATTGCTGTGAATCTGAAACAAAACAAATAACTTCACTTTAGAAAATGAGCAGCAAGTTGAAAGTTTTCTTATGTTTTATGGGTCAGGACAAATAGGTTGCTGTTTGTCCCACTCTGATAATGTCCATAAATGCCTGCACACTTCTTGAAGGTGGAGTTATGTCAAAATTCTTTGAATCTCAAGCATCTGATAATGTCTCACATTCAGAGGTACTCAATACATGTTAAGTGAATAATGAATGAATTTTTAAAAATAAGTGAGTGAACACATGGATTGACAGTTTTTAGAAAAAGAATGCGATTCATATAGAGTGCGTTTAATATTTAAAATTAAATTCCAATTCTTTTCAGAAGTTTCTTTCGAAACTTAAATCTACATCTTAGAAGTGTTTCAATAGTCTTCCCAAAATGACTGATAACGTCCAAAGTATTGCAGTTTTCTGTTTCTACTTAAAATTGACAGAAAATGTTTAAAGTCCTCATTTTTTAAAGAACTGTTTTTGGTTTTTTTTAAGATTTTATTTATTTATTTGTGAGAGACATATAGAGAGGCAGAGACACAGGCAGAGGGAGAAGGAGGCTCCACGCAGGGATCTTGACATGAGGCTCAATTGCAGGACCCTGGGATCACAACCCAAACTGAAGGCAGATGCTCAACCACTGAGCCACCCAGGTGCCCCTATTTAAAGTATCTTAAGTGAGAGTTGTACTTGTATTACCTCTTGACTGCTGTCATCTCCTCTTTTTAAGAGAGCCTAGCTTGTTAAGAATTTTCATTTATTTATAAACACATAGTTTTATTAGTTTGAATTGGTAGATTTCTTAAACCTAAGATTTAATTGACATAAAACAAAGGAAACCTTTCTCCTCTTGAAATCTTAAAGGTGTCAGGGAACTTATTTTATTAGTCATGCTTATGTTTCAAAATTAATTATTTATGGCCTATCTTTCATTGATATTGTATGTTTTAAATCTAGAAATCACACTGAAATGAGCTGCATAAATATTCTGTAATTCTAGTGCTTACAATATATTTGCATGATTTTATTTCTCAGGAATAATATGGGAGATGGTATATAATTGTTTCTTACCCTATTTGAGTCAATTCTTGCTCTGGAAGTATAGATGGGAGGTGGGATGTTGAACGCCTGAGGGACCAAGTATTCCTCAGCATCCATCATGTCTTCCAAATCCTCTTCATCCAAGAGATTCTGAAAGAACTTGCTGTCATTTGGACTGGGAAGCTTCATGCGATCGTCACCCTAAAAGTTTGCCCACCAGACAAACAAAAATATGATTCTTCGTTTCATCTTCAATATGTGGACTTTGCAGAAAATGTATGTACTATAAAATAAGTAGTTGAAAATTCATGCACTTGTTTTTAAAAAAATTCCCTAATACAATTACCAATCATGAAGGAGCCTGTAACATACTTAGCTAGATAAATAAATTTAACAGAATATGATAAATACCATTAGAGATGAATAAAGCAGGGACATCTGGGTGGCTCAGCGGTTGAGCTGCTACCTTCAGCTCAGGGTGTGATCCTGGAATCCCGGATCGAGTCCCACATGGGGCTCCCTGCGAGAAGCCTGCTTCTGCCTCTGCCTGTGTCTCTGCCTCTCTCTCTCTCTGTCTTTCATGAATAAATAAATAAAACCTTAAAAAAAAGATGAATAAAGCAGAATGCTCTGGGTTGTTTTTTTTTTTTAAGATTTTATTTATTTAGAGAGAGGCAAAGACAGGCAGAGGGAGAAGCAGGCTCCCTGCAAGGAGGCTGAGGCAGGACTCGATGCCAGGGCCCAGGGATCACGACCAGCCGCTCAAACAGTGAGCCACCCAGGTGCCCTGCTCTGGTTGTTCTGAGGGAGGCATAATTTATTTCAGATCTGAGAATAATGGTACACTTCATTGCCAGGATGTTTGAGCTGTGACTTTAAGAATAAATAACAAAGGACAATTGACTTTTCAATCTTTATTGTATTTAGTTGGTTTGATATTGTAGAGTTCTCAGGACATAGAGACTCCATGATTTGTCCTATAGCAGAACACTGTTAAAGTGATAGCTTTCAAAATCACAGCATAAGTGGCAAATAATATAAATGAAGGTGGGAGAGGCAGCAAAATCCCACTCTTTTTTATTTCATCTATTTCTTAAATGTGTTTTTTTTCATTTTTCAGAATTATGTGATATTTTTGCAAACAAGTTGTTTATGCAAATTAATTTGGGAAAAGGTAACTGGAAACTATTCTAAAACCTGGCTTTTATCTTCATGTCAGACTATTGATAGGAAGATAAATGCTACCTTGTTTTATTGAGGAAAATTAATTCAACGTAACCCAAGGTCCATTTGTTTATGATTTTGGTCAAAATAATCATAGAGAAATATAACTTTTTAATTATCCGATCCTTTTTTTTTGTAGTGTTTAATATAAAATGTTCTTTGGGGCTATCATTTGATTCATATGTACATCAATTCACTTGAATTGGAATTATTGCTTGGATATTGTATATCTCCCAAAATGAAATATATTTCTAAATATTTTTTTAGGAAATTTAATGTCAATATGTTGAAACTTTTAATTCACTGTCTTCAACCATGGACAGGATTCAAACAAAAATCCATCTTGCTTTTATTATAAAAAGGGAAGATTATAATAATGGACACGACTTAACGCATGTTAATAAAAAGCAGAGTGCTAGAAGGCTTGTCTGGGGAGAAGGACTTTTTATGTATATGGATAATCATAATTATCTGGCTGTTCAGTAGCAGAGGCACTTGAATACTAAGGGAAGATTTTTAGAAGTGGTTCTGACATAGAGTATAAAAGGCTCTTTTCCATAAGTCATTTCACATGATATTCTGCTTTAGTTAATCGACTATGAGTGGTGATTTCCACAGTTCCAAAGACCAGATATGTACTCACCTGAATGACTAGATATCTTTGAGGGTCTCGAGCCATCCTCGAAAACTCAGCAGCCAGTTCCTTAAATTTAGGCCTACTGTCAGCATCAATCATCCAACCTAGAAATTCACACACAAGAGTCATTTATACCCATAATTAGCAAGAAGCAGGATGTACATTTTATGAAAACATAGGCTAAGTTTGAAAAATATTGTTTCAGTAACAATGATCTAAAAAAAACAAAGAAAGTTAAACAATCCAATAGGTGAGGTTCTATCTGAATCAGTTTGTTGATATTCGTTAGCAAAATATAATATATGATAGAATAACAGAGACTTTTCACTTTGTTGATCTAATTTAAAATTAATTTTTCTTCTTAAAAATATAACCTAGGTTAACTCAGGGAACTTAGAGAATCTCAGATCTTTTTTTCTTAAGTATGGAGAGAATTTTTATTTTTTTAACTTCTCTTTGATGGTTATAAAAGAGGTGACTGGGATAGGATTTATTAGTTTATGTCAGGAGTGACATAGAATACAAGCTCTGGTTACAATGGAGTACACCAGCACAGAGGGGAAAAAGGAAGAGAAAGCAACTTTCTTGTGCCACCTCTTTCCTGGTGGGGGAAAAAAAAAAAAAGCAAAGTTATGGGTAATGCTTGTTCAGCAATAGCCATTAGCTTATCTAAGTACTAGCCTTTGCAGCATAAAAATACTATCAGCAATTTTCAAGGTATGTATTATTATTTAGCTGGGACTCTAGATAAAGTGGGTCTTATCTCCCCAGGCACTGTTTAGCTGGTGAGATCACAAAAATTAAAGCACCAAGCTTTCCTTGATTTTCTTGCCAAATGACTGTCTTCTTAAGTATTAAAATTCACAAAAGCAAGGTAAAACTCTCTATTAGGCAAAATATTTTCCTGATTTCTTTCATTGTTTCATCAGAGTATTTAAACAAAGTATTTTAAATTACCTCTGATGCTAGTTTTGAGATCAAATTATATAATGCATGCATGTTTTTAAAGTTCCTTCCATAGATGACTACTGAATGATGTTTGATCCAATAAAGCTATAAGGTTTGTTTCCCTTTTCCAGGAGTTCAATTTTTATTCTTGTTCTGGGAAGTCTGTGTGTGTCATTTCACGTATCATTAGTATCACGTGCATTTTTTTCTCTCTTAACAAAGCTCAACTATATGCATTCACTTACAAAAAAAATGCTAATGAGAAAATAGGTATTTCTGGAACTATTGGAATCAAAAAAGGTTAACTTCGCCGGGAGGTATCAGTTTCTTTCTAACTAAATATTGAGTAAATAGAACTATGCTTAGAGAAAAGGGCATGCTGACCTGAACTGGAAAGCACATTTTTTATTTCTTCCTCACTGTCAGAATGTATCACACATGTCATGAATATAAATCTGAGTGGATCTGGGTCCAAAGTCTCTTATTAATAAGATGCTTATTCACCTTCACCAGTTTGTTTCTTTGCTAACCCTGTGTAAATCAAAAGGGGAAAACCCCAGATTACACAAGAAAGATTGCTGAATGTTAATCTCACTTAAATTAAGTAGGAAACTCCAGAGACTTCTCTAATTCTATTTAAATTAAGAGCCTAGGCTGCCAAAACACATTTATAATACATACGTGTCTGGGGCATAGAAAGGAGGAAGAAAAGAGCATTTGATGTAAACAAATGATCAAATCGACAAAAAGTAAGCATTCATAATCTTTTTCACTGTAGATTCACGTCTTTACATTTCCCATTCTGCTCTGCTAATTTCCTGTTGACTAAAATTGGTAAACCTATTTCCATTTAATTCATTTTTTTAAACTATCAGTTTCAAGCTTTCTCCCTTTGTATTTAGACCATTTGTTTAGACTGCTATTTTCCTATAAAGATGACTAACATTATTGTGACTAATTACATCTCTTTATGAAAGACAATTTGATTGTCATGGAAATGATAAGATTCAAAGTGAAATGAATCAGAAGAGGAAGAGTCATAAAATTTTGACTTTATAATGTGGAAGCATGCATATTGCTTCCTATTAACAATAAGCACACAAACACAGGTGTTTACATGATCTTTTTTCATAATTATTTGAACTTTCATATTTTTCAATATCAAAAAACATTATGCAGGTAGATTAATCCATACTATTACTTTACTAAGCATGATGATGGTGATGATAAAATTATTTTGCAATCTTACATTTGACCATGACCATGTAAACGTCAATAGTGCAGATAGGAGGCTGGGGCAAACGTTCTCCTTTCTCTAATAAATCAGGGATTTCTCGGGTTGGAATTCCATCGTAGGGTTTTCCTCCAAATGTCATCAGTTCCCATATAGTGACTCCTAAATTGGAGATCAAATATTTACATAAGCGTATTAACAACACACTTCGAAGAAACCAGTGACAAAAGAAAGCTCCTTAGAAAGGCAGTCAAAAATAGTCTAAAGAGGGAGGGCGCTTGGGTGACACAATCCATTAAGCATTCAGACTCTTGGCTTTGGCTGAGGTTGTCATCTCAGGATGGTGGGAGTGAGCCCCGCATCAGGATCTGTGCTCACTCAATGTGGCATCTGCTTAAGACTCTGCCCTCCCCCTCCACTCTCTCTCTCAAATACATAAATAAATTAAAAAAATAGTCTAAAGAAAGGCTCTTCAGATTTCTATGTCCATTAGAAGAAGCCCAATGACAAAATCTTTATGGGAAATTCAACTATCATATTATTGTCTTGAAATTTTTAATGAGGGCAGCCCGGGTGGCTCAGTGGTTTAGCACCACCTTTGGCCCAGGGCGCGATCCTGGAGACCCGGGATCAAATCCCACTTCCGGCTCCCTGCATGGAGCCTGCTTCTCCCTCTCCCTGTGTCTCTGCCTCTCTCTCTCTCATTAATAAATAAAATGCTTAAAAATATAATGATTCTAATTTGAACAAGAAACATACCCTATACACCTCTTTATGATCTCATAATTATACAATTAAAAAGTCACCATTTCTTAAGGGTAGGTTTGTACATTCAGAAATAGCTGTGTGTAAGAGTTTTACCAAGTGAATTTTGATTGGTTCACATAGCATACAAAGCATATTTTTATATAAAATCCATTAATTAGGACTATGTTTTTTTTACTTCCATCTGTAATAATTATTTATTCAAACTGAAGTCTATTTTTAGCTCATAATACTAATCATCGACTACTAATAAAAATACAAAGCTTAAAATATAAAAGTATATGTGATCTTCAAATTATACTTTATAATATCCTTATTACCTAATTATTACCATGGTTACCTGATTTTGCTTATTATTTTTTAAATCTTATGATTTTTAAATATAATGTAAAAATGTAACTAGTGACACAATTTAAGTGTTTGATCTTGTTTAAATCCTACTTAATTTTGCACATTAAGGAATGGCTCTGTAGAACCAATAATTAAAATTCAGTGTCCATGAGACAGGCTAGAACAAGTTAAGAAGTGGATGGCTGTCCATCTATATTCAGTCAGTCAATATAAATACATATTTACAGAACATGTATTTGATGAGGATATTTTGTTAACTTACATATGCAGTTATAAAAGAATAGACACTCACATCTCTATCAGAACTTCCAATATAAACAAAATGCAATCCAATTACAAATCAAAATGATAGAAAATATAATAAACACATAAATACAAAAACAAAAGCAGGAACAGCAAAACCCCCACCTCTGCCAATAGCAATCCAACTCTATCCTTGCAGGAATGAACACAAGATAGGGTTAAACAGAGATGGCTTTACACAGAAGGACAATCTCAGAAAAACTGAATCAGAAACATCTTCAAAACTTACAATTCTGTCATTTGAACCTATAAACCATAGCTAATACATATTTATTTTTATAAAAATAAAGATGCATCCAGGGGCAATTTGCCACAAAGATGCATTGTAAACATTGTGTTTCTCTTTGCCTTGTATACCTTTTGCAATCAACTATGATATATGATAAAAATCTTAAAATGCCTTATAGATATGGGTTGATGACCTGGGCTATGTTTCAAAGCATAGTACTTATCTATCTATCTATCTATGTACTTATTGTAGAGGTTGTTTAAAATTGTTTGATTGCTATATTTAAATGAGGGAAACATACATAGAAAAAGGAAAAATGATATGTATGTCATATATCAAAATACATATGATAACATATAAGTCTATCATAGAAAATATAATCTATACATCTATATCATATAATATATACACTAATTTGTATCATATAATAAACATAGTAGATTTGTGTTTCTATTCAGTCCTTACAGTTCAGCAACTACATTCTTTCAATCGTTTCCCTACACTTGCCTAAATTTCAAACCCAGCACACTTTGTATTTCTAAGCCTAGTAGAATACATGTGACCTTCATGGAAATTTTAAACCAACAGCATACATGTGTGGAGGGAAAAAAACACTTTACAGAAATGTCTTAATTTTTTTTAAGATAATTTGTGCTTTTCTAGATAAGAGGTGTAAGTTCTTTAATGATTGAATGGATTAAGTCTTTCTTTCTAAAAACAAAAACAAAGATAAAGCTAGGCTTAAATTTTATGAACTAAACCGTACCATGCTTTCAAGTCACACCACCACCTTTTTGCTTAAATGGGGGTTGTGGTTTTTATTTGTAAGAAATATGGTTTTATGTTTATATTTAAACTTAGAAAAGGTGTTGATTCATTCCTTTTTTTTTTAAGATTATTTATTTATTTATTCATGAGAGACACAGAGAAAGGCAGAGACATAGGCAGAGGGAGGACCAGACTCCCTACAGGAAGCCTAATGCTTCCTTGATCCCCAATCCTGGGATCACTTGAGCCAAAGGCAAATGCTCAACCACTGAGCCACCCAGGTGTCTCTGATTCATTCTTAATAATACCTGGGTGAACGTAAGTTGTAAATCGCCACATACATGTAAGTATCTCATCTCAACAATTGAATTAAATGCAATTAAATTCAATACATTTTAAGTATTGAAAAAGTAATTTTAATACTTTTTTCTAGTTCATAGTAGTCACTCTCCATTGTGTCTGTTTATTCCAAAGTAGTTTGTAAATTAAAATCAGAGCTGCAACTAGAAATCTTCTCTCTTATTTCTCCCCTCACATTTATTGGTCTCACCTTACTGCTTTCAGTAATTGTTCTTTGTTACAATAATAACCTCTTTCTTATTATAGAACAGAAATTCTTTTATTTTTAACATACTTTCAAAGAGCTTTTGAAAATTAAGGCTAGGAGGCTCTATGACATTTTTCCTAAACAAAAATTGGCTATTTTTTTTTCTGTCAAAATGATCAGAAAAGTTGCGACCAAACCAAAGGTTATGATAGACAACTCAAGTGAGACTTTAATATATTAGCTTATAACAGAGAACCTAGGAATGACAAAAAAAGGTAGATAAATGATACAATTTAGAGTTTCGTTTTTATAACTGGAAGAGCAAAGAGTTAATTCCTTTAGGAAACAAGGCTTGTAAGGTGGTATTTCCAACACAATAAAATAAATTGGCTTAGGATTTTACATGAGCCTAACATATTTATTTTTGCTTTAAAACTCTTAATTCACAAGGAAGATTTATTTACCATAGCTCCAAACATCACTCTGATGGGTGAATTTCCTATAGTGTATACACTCGAGAGCCATCCATTTAATTGGCATCTGAGAAATAAAAAGAGAAATAAAAAGTGAAAGTTTTATAGCTACATAAAAGGTTATTACTATATTCATTTCCCAAAATATGAGTCGCTGGCTTGTCTCAATTGTATTTTTTGATGTGTATTTTTGTGGGTATAGAAAATACATATATAATAATAATAAACATATTATTTTTCAATACAGAGAACAATGAACTGAAATTTATAAAATTCTTAAAGTGAATTAACCTAAAGATATATTTATTTTTAAAAGCTTCATAAACAATGAAAAGTAAAATAGTATGATTTTCTATAGTTCTTAATAATGTTTAGCAATTAGTTTAGTTACTAGTTAACTATGACTCACAATATCGATTCTAAACATTTAAGAGATGTGCTTCTAGAAATGTGGTTTACTACATTTTTTCCCCCAATGAGATTCCTTACATTTTTACTTACCCTTTTTTCCCTCACAAAATTTCTGGCCACCAGTAAAATAGACTCTTTCTAAACTTGCCCGCACCTTCTTCCTCTCATATAATTTGGTCCCTTAAGCCTCTAAAGCAATGAATCCCAGAGTTAGGCTTGCTTTGTTCCCCAGCCACAAATGATCTCCCTTGTCTTGGTTAGCCAGTATTGAAAATATGTAGCATTTTCAAACTCGGAATTATATAAAAGAATATGAGAGGATGAGTACAAATCTATCATCACAACAGGAAAAACAACTCAACTCACATACCCTGCTGATGATGGGTCAGCAGAATAAGTCTCAACTAGGAAGGGCAGCATTATATAGCTGGAAATATAATTAGGTTCTACGGAATAAAGATAAACACTTTTACTTTGCAGTTGAAAGCTTAAAACTAAATAGGCTTTTGAAATCATGAGGTTCGCTGCTCACCAAGGTGACACCAAGGTAACTACGACAGAATCATGGTATTCAGTGAAAGGGAACAGAAGACACAGTGAAAGTGATTTCCCTGTGGGCAAGGAGTTAGCCGACTTTATGGACTACGGCCATTGTGTTAAAGAAGTAAGTTTAAATCACAGGTGGCTTGATAAAGACTTAATGGTTACCAGGCATTTAAAGCTATAATGAATCTTGCTTTAGACAAATCCTACAGCTGTGTTCTTAAGACAAGTGAAGTCATGTGATTTATAGACTTCTACTGTGCAATCTTGCAGTGAATTTCAAAGCTATGGTCTCAAACTGCTGCAATTTGGTAGTAAACAGGCAAAACCATCTAATAAAATCAAGGAAAGATTAGGAAATACTACAAAACTGAAGAGTTTTTAAAGAATTTTTCTTTTGTGATAAGATTTGAATATATATATATATATATATATACATAAGATTGTATAAAGTTATATAAAAATCATCTACTACATGACCTAATAAAATCAATGTTAAGCATTTGGAAGCCTATCATTGCAAAATATTTATTTATTTATTTTATTTTTTTTTTTTTTAAATTTTTTTTAATTTATTTATGATAGTCAACAGACAGAGAGAGAGGCAGAGACACAGGCAGAGGGAGAAGCAGGCTCCATGCACCAGGAGCCCGACGTGGGACTTGATCCCGGGTCTCCAGGATCGCGCCCTGGGCCAAAGGCAGGCGCCAAACCGCTGCGCCACCTAGGGATCCCCCGCAAAATATTTATAATATATACCTGGATGGCTCATGATAAATAAGGCATATGATAAATATTTATATATATATATATTTATATCAATTTACATATATTTATATCAATCACCTTTTTATTTTTGGTTAGCATGTGTTTGTACGTCACCATAGGTGAAGGATGGATTTGCTATTTCATTTGGCCTCTCCTGATCTAAGTTTTCTCACATTAGGCTACAGGGACCTCCAGATGGAGAGCAGATAGCCTCACTGTTTAGCAAGAATGGTAATTTAAACAGTGGGTTAATGAGAAAAATACAAGAGCTTGAACTAAGGCCTGCTCTGAGGCCATATGGAGGAGCACGGTTGTCAGGTAAGGCCAGAGGCAAGTCAGAAAAGTAAAAGAGGCAATGATACTGTTAAGATCCTCAGAATACAGTAGCCTACATTCTACAATCAGATAATAAATATAGCAAATTGGTCAATCATATGTTACAATAAAAGCTTAAAAAAATTGAGCCAGATAAGAATCTGTTGTATCTGGTAAAAGAGGATTAGAAGTTAAATTTCTAATGAGTTATGGTTCTTGGTAGTAGCCAGGCTTCTCTCTAATCTATGAAAGAATAGTTATGTCTTTCTGTTGTATCAGTCCTGTGTTCTTAGAATCAATGAAACAATTTCTATGGTCCTGGATTAAAGTATAATTTCTATATTTCCTAAGGATCCACCCTCTTCCCAACACTGGATGTGATATAAAGACCACTAGAGATAAATTATCTTATTTTGGCTACTTTTGAAAAATGGATGTTTTATATAATTTTTATATAATTTTTATATAATTTTTATATAATTTTTATATTTCCCTTGGTGAGAGAGAAGGCAAATGATGGAACTGAGATTTTTATACTCTCATAACCTCAGACTGAGTGGCTTCTTCCTATAACATGTAAGAAGACAAAAGGATATCATACATATTTTCAAGCAATATTTCTCTAAAAAGAGACCCACCTTTCCTCCATCAGCATTATACTCTTTTTCATCTCCTTCTAAGAGTCTGGCTAGTCCAAAATCTGTGATTTTCACATGGTTTGGAGATTTCACTAAGACATTTCGGGCTGCCAAGTCCCGATGAACAAGCCGTCTTTCTTCCAGGTACATCATCCCCTGAAAAACACCAAGTTCCAAAATGATAGTTAATGACTAGGCTTTTTTATTGTCTAAAAAGTAGTTTCTTTGCCTTCAGTTGCAAGCTTGATTTCTCTGAGTGAAGCCAGAATCTCAGAATATTTTCAAAATTAGTAAAAACCTAGGATAAAAAGCAAATCACAAATAGTTCTTGGCCTTTTCTACCTAAAGTCCTATCAAGAATTACCTGTACATGAGCTAAATGTTAGATCTTTTTTTTTCTCAGAGACTTTATACTCTTTTGCAAACACTTTCATTAGTGAGGTGTGCGTGTGTCTCAGTAGATAAGCTAACATACACGTGGACTGACCCACATATTTCTATTTGTGCTCTCAATAACTCATGCTTTATGTCATCCTCCCCGTATGCTCGAAACAGAGACCCATCCATAATTTTAAAAAATTAAAAAAATTCATATGAAGGTTTAGTGGTGCCAAAATCACCACCATAGATTCTATCAAGGCTTAAGAATCATATTATTCTTATTAATTATGCAAAAAATGAACTATAGAGGCATTAAAAGCCTCTAATTTTAAAAAATGGCTTCAATGACATTAGTAGTCATTATAAGAACCCACAAGTGAAATTACATTGTTTATAATGATCCTGAAATGAACCTTTAATATGTTTTTCCATTAAACATATAGGGTAATTAAAAATAAAATGTATTACTGATTGTCAACAATGATATGTATCCACGTATATCTAAATATGTTCATGTGTATATTCATATGCATGTATATACATATGTATATTTCCATAATCCATAGAAGCAATACATATTAATTTTACTTTACCAGTAGGGAAACTAAGAGTCATTAAACAGCCTTAACTAAAGGTTTATATAAAATTAAGGAAGTAAACTCAGAGGCCTAGATTAGAGTGAATATATTCTTATTGAAGTGTTAGAGGAATTCTATACTTGAGGATTTCAGAGGTAAAAAAAGTGTTGTCATTCAAAAACAAATCAGAATTATTAGAAAATGGTTAAAGCATACTCTATACCAACTGCAAATCAAAGGTGTTGTAGTTAACATTATAATTGCAGGACTCTGAGGATTAACAGTTGCTGATATCAAAGCAAAATCTGTGGAAAACAGGCACATAAATCACATAGGTTAAAAAAAGAAAAATATGGTGAACTGTATACTCAATGTAGTGTAAAGAGAAGATTGCTTCAAACACGATCATGAGCCAAACACTCTACTATCAATGTCCATTAAATACAACCAGTGCACATACTGCCCGATATGGTCCAACTGGTCAGTAGCTGGGTGACCACCACTTGTATTAGTGTTTTCTGAAATCCACAACTCAGTCCAAAACTGAGATTTCTCTCAGTCCACAACTGAGATTTCTAAGGTTTTATTCTCTTCCCTAAACAGTGCTTTCTGTTTGATTGTGCTAACTTGGAAATTCCTAGAATAAAGTGAATCTAAAAACATATAGCCCTTATATGATTTAAGGAACCAAAACACAGACTTGCCTTGGAGATAAAGATTTTTTCAGTAATTTGCCTCTTTAAGAAATGTCCACAAAAACATTCACCTTTCCTACCACCTTCATATAGGAATATGCAAAGTGTGTTGGCAATGAGTAAATATTCAGATCTACACACAATGACGAAATACACACCATGTTCCAGGCTCTGTGCTAGACATCAGAGAAACAAAAAAAAGAGAGAAATAGGTTCACTGAAGGAGGACAGAGCTATTAATGAAATGGGCAGACATGGAATACAGACTTGAATGAATCAGGGTGATATATGTAAAGGCATTTAAGGAGAACCATGTTTTGAGGATCATCTATAGCCTAGCCTAGCAAGTGCGTGTGTGAGGGGAGCCTTCAGAGATATCCTGAGGCCTAAGTCAAGTTTAAAAGCTGTCCACCAGTTGGGCAAGGTGAGACGGAAGTTGGAGTTAGAGAGAACACATGCAGTGGCACCAATACCATGGTGTACTTGGCAAAGGCATGTAGTTCTTTAAACATGGGCAGGAGAGGGGTGAATGGTGAGACTGACAAAGAAAGAAGAGGCTCAATTTAAAAAGGGCCTCTTATGTACCATGGTGGAGACCCGGAGCTTTGCATCTTATGCAGTATTCGGTGCGATGATGCAGAAGTTGTTTTAAAAAGTAGAGTGACACAATTATCATTGGAGTCTTGAAAAAAAGCACCTGGTTTATAGATGGAGGACTAGATGCAAATACAGCTCAAGTCGGGAGCCCCTGCCACAATACAGAGGAAAAAGTGATGAGATGGAAAATGATAAGAGATAAAGGTTGTAAATTGGCAGTCCATGAGCTACGTGCATTTTATATACATAATTTTTGACCCTCACGCTGGGCAACTTGCAAACATTTTTAGCTGATGACTGGTTGTACACCACTGAGGGTGGGCACCCTCATGTGCCAGGATCCCACCACTCACTATTACTACCCATGAGTTTGTTTAAGACAGTCATCTAGCTCCTATGCATGAGTGTCTGAATCTTCAACCAAACTGGGCCAGGAGAAATTTCAGGGAGAGTACAATTCCGAGATGCACTTATACAATAAAATAACCATCCTTGATAATTGAATAATGAAGAGGAGAGTCAATTACAAATGATCCTGTTCTCTGACTTTTGTAATTTAGGTGGATAGTAATTGCTTTAACTAGACATTCTCCCAAAGCAAATAATAGTGATATATTCTATATGAACAGGGAACTAACACTGGCCAAGACTTTTAAGACCCTAACACGACACATGCTATGTTATGAGCAGAACTTCTAAAACCCCAAATGTTCTTTGATAGTCTATATACAAAGCCTTAGCAGGTGATAGACTACCCTGAACTTCAATTCCTTTTGTCTCTACAAAGGGTTTTCTTCAAAAAATGAGAACTCCATCCAGGAAACCAGGAATTTCTATATAGTTTCTCCACCCACCTGATCATGAGTAAGAGAAATAAAAACAGAAGCATCTGTATTATTATCAAATCATCAAAATTAATTTGTATGGTTGCTTTGTAACTATGAAACATCATTGTACAGATGCGTTTTTAAAAGGTTTTATTTATTTATTCATGAGAGACACACAGAGAGAAGCAGAGACACAGGCAGAGGGAGAAGTAGGCTCCCTGTGAGGAGCCTGATGCAGGACCCGATCCCAGGATCCCGGAATCACGACCCGAGCCAAAGGCAGATGCTCAACCACTGAACCACCCAGGTCCCCTGTCCCTTACTTTCACACCTGAATTAGAGTGTTGAATCATCTATGGATTGCTCACAATAGGTGTCTCCACACCACAGTCATTACGATAGGACTTCCTTACCAGAAGATCTCATCAGAACCACATTCTCTGCTAGATTCCTTCAAAATAAAATCACTCCTTAAGCAGAAGTATGATGCAATGAAGGAGGCAGTTATTAGAAACAGCAGTGACAAACTGGATGAAGTGCTTTGAAGTTTGAAGATGATTAAAAAGAAGGGCCCTTCACTATAGTGGAGGGGTGCTGCACCGAAAGAAATGCACTCTGCCTTTTTGCAACCCCCATGTCCTTGCCATGCTGTCTCTGGTGGAGTCCTTTATAGGAATACTAACACCAACAATAACCACAGCTAATGCTGAGTACTCGGAACATGGCAGGCATTAAACTAAATGCTTCTACAATGGGAGGCTAACTTATCCTATAAAATGCATAGTTTTTATCCCATTTTAAATGTGAGAAAGCCAAGTCTCAGCAGGTGGTTACTTGTTCCAAGTCGTCTAATGAGTGTTAGAACTGGCATCTGATCTCTTGCTATGGTGTTCCAAAGTCTGCACATTTAAGTCTACCCCTTCTCTTGATGGGTCATGGGGTCATGTTGGCATGTGGAAATTAACATACATAGTGAATTCATATACCTTTAAAAGATCCTAGTTCTTTTGGAGCAAAAATATTATAAGATGTCTCTGTGAATTTCAGGGCACAATGCAAGTGACCAATTTGTTTGCATTTGCCTTTAAAATTCAGCTACATTAAAAACCTTCTCTGATGTAGCAGGAATTTGGATCACATAAATTGGAAACTCCTTCCTGCATTGGCCACAGGATATGCACGATGATGGAGCTGGTTTGAGTGCAGATTCTGGGGTTAATCACCCGGATCGAACCCCAGCTCTGCTATGTTCTAGCTATGTAACTCTGGCAAGCTAATTAACCTGGCACTCACCTTTGTCTCTAAAACGGCCATAAAAGGACCCTATACCATGGATTGTTGTAAATATAAAGTGAGTTAATATATGTTAAGCATTCAAATAGTAACTGCCATATAGTAAGTCCAGAATATGCAAGCTTTTATTATTTTTCCACAGATATGAACAGTCCTAGTGTGAATAAGAATAACTTACCCTCATTAGCTTGAATTGCTTATTTCAGAAAATCTGTGAACCTCAACTAATATATCACAGTAGGTGTTCAATAAATGTTTACAAATGGTGATACATATACCCATAACCAATCCATCATGATTAATGTGTAGGTACAAATACCAAATAATGATTCACCTAAGGATGCTGCCATATAAAAAGAAGGAAAAATTAGGGAATCTAATAAAAGATTTGGTGGCCTCCATAAATATATTCACAGATTCAGGATTTTAGGGAAGATAAAGGTCATGAATAAGATAGGTGGAAAGTTTTCAGTGCTGCAGAAAGGGTAAATAAAACAGTAGATTTGCTGATCCAAAATATCTGCCTTTTATCAGCACTGAGAGCAGTTTTTTGTAGACCTCTTTTAGGAGCATTTTGTCTACTTCTGGACCCCGCTGCTATACTCTTGCTTTTACTCAAACTATTCAGAATTTACCATTACCCAAACCTTTCAGTATTTTACCATTTTTTTCATATTTAATGAGTTTTCAAAGAGTTACTTATTTTCTGTTTTGCTTCTCTCTCTTAAAAGATGCTTTAATAGGGATCCCTGGGTGGTGCAGCGGTTTAGCGCCTGCCTTTGGCC